GTAAAGGCTGAAGCCTATAGGGATGGGTAGATTTATGGGTGAAGATGAAAAGGAATCACAAAGGAGTAGGACAAGACGTAAAAGGAGACAGCAAGGAAGCATGAAAACAAAATGCCGTGGAAGGCAAGAGAGGAGAGGTTTTAGGAAGAGGCACTTAATAGCATAAAATTCTACAAAGAAATGTCATGGCAAATTTAAAAAAAAAAACTAAGATGGTAGAAATAAGGCTAAATATATCACTAAAGAAAATAACTATACTTGGACTAAACTCATGTATTAATAGAACAGGGATTCTCAGATTGAATCAAACACAATCCACCCCTATGCTACATAAACATATTTAAAGTCTAAAGTTTAAAACTAAAGACACCAAAAGACTAAGAGTGAAAAGAATATATACACACATATGCATATACACACACATACATATGTGCATATACACAGTTGACCCTTGAACAACACGGATTTGAACCACGTGGGTCCACATATATGCAGATTTTTTCAATAAACATATTGGAAAATTCTTTGGAGATTTACAACAATTTGAAAGACTTGAAGACAAACTGTATAGCAAGAAATATTTTGAAAAATAAGAAAAAGGTATGTTATGAATGCATAAAATATATGTAGATGCTAGTCTGTTTTATCATTTACTACCATAAAATACATACAAATCTATTATAAAAAGTTAAGATTTATCAAAACTTACACATACACTTAACAGACCATGCATGGTGCCATTTACAATTAAGATAAATGTAAACAAATATAAAGACGCAGTATTAAATCATAACTGCATAAAATTAACTGCAGTACATACTATACTGCTGTAATAATTTCATAGGCACCTTCTGTTGCTATTGTAGTGAGCTCAAGTGTTGCAAGTATCCACTTAAAATGCCATGTGACACTAGTCATGTCCACATGAGCAATTCATCTCTTTAGTAAATCATCCATCAGAGTAAAAAGTAGTCTCTCAAAGTTCTTACATATTTTTCACTGTGTTTAGCAAAATACTGTAAACACTGAATAACATCATGGGACTCAACAAAGTTTTACTGGTGAAGCTAGAAGCATTCCAAGAAGCAAAGTCATGACATTACAAGAAAAGATTGAATTGAATTCTCTAGCTGAGATTGCTCATAGGTGGAGGATTCATTTTATAAAAGAAGACATAACTTATGGTATTGATAAATACAGTACAGTACTATAAAGGTAATCTCTCTTATTTATAGTTTTCCTAATAACATTTTCTTTTCTCTAACTTAACTTTGTAAGAATACAGTATATAATACAAATAGCATACAAAATATGTGTTAATTGAATATTTATGTTATTGGTAAGGCTTCCAGTCAACAGTAGGTTATAAGTAGTTAAGTTTTGGGGGAGTCAAAGTTTATACACAAATTTTCAACTGTGCAGAGTAATGACATCCCTAACCCCCATGTTATTCAAATGTCAACTCTCCATATACAGTACACACACACACACACTCACACATACAAAGACACACACACACTAATCTAAAGAAAATAAGAAGTATTATTAGACAAAATAGATTTTAAGACAAAAAGTAATATGACAAAAAGGATCTCCTCACCAGTAAGATTAAAATAATCTTAAGTCTGAGAGCATATAAGAAGATTTTCTAAACATATACAAAACAGAACTTGGCATAATTACAAAGACAAATTGACAAATCCATAATTATAGAGAATGGATTTTCATTATAACTCAAGAACTAAGAGATGAAACACATAAAAAGTCTACAAATATAAAAATATGAGTAACATGCTTAACATTTATCTATTGGACATTTATAGAACCCTAATTCCAACATTTAAAGAATATGATTCTTTCCCAAAACTGAACATATATTAGCTCACAAAGCAAGTCTCCACAAATACCAAGGAGTTAAAATCATACAGATCAAGAATAAGATGCATTTTAAAAGCAGCATTCAGTGAACACAAAAGGAGTTCTTAGAACTGAAACATGGCAGGAGAAAAAACTCAGTAGAATGTGTGGAAGATAAAATTGAAAAAACCTCTCAGCAAGTAGAACAAAAAGACAAAGAGGTAGAAAGTAGGAGAGAAAAGCTAAGAATCTTAGAGCATCAGTCTAGTAGTTCTAACATTCCCAAAATAGAGATTCCAAAAAGAGAGAAAAAAGGTTTTCTTTCTTGGGGGGAAAAAAAAAGAGTAAGTCAGACTGAAGCCCTGTGACTCAGGAGACAGACATGATAAGGCCTGTCAAAGCCAGCATGCCTGCTGACACCATGCTGTGCTTCTAACCTGAATGCAGAATCCCAGGGGAACCTGGCTCAGATGCTTATTTGTGCTTCACTTGTCATGACCCTGGGTTGAAGAAGCTGCTGCTCCCTCCTCCATGCCCAGCTACAGAAGCCCATTCCCCTGGTCATTTTCTTGCTGGACATCCAGTGACTGACTCACACTAGGACCTCACCAGAAACCTTGACACATTCGTGACCTGACCACTCTGACTTCCCCAGAAGGGGCTTTTAAAACTGTTTAAAAACCAAACCCAGACTGTGACCCAAAGATTCTATTCAGCTTGTTTTCTTCTAGAAATCGTGTCCTTTCATTACAATGCTAGGTTTGAGCTTATTTCTGAAGTTTTGTGCATATAAGCGATAGAACTCTAAAGAAAAGCAGGGACATAGTTCACAGAGAAGTCAGTGTGGCGGTTGCTCTGGAAAAAAGAATGATGGGGCAGGAAAAAGGGGGCTCCTGCATAATATGATAGTAGAGTTCATTGTGAAGATGTAGTGAGTGCATGGTGCTTGCTTGGTTATTGTTGTTGAACTTGTATATATAGATAAGACTTTATATATTCTTGTGGCTTGTGAGACATTTAAACTTGTTTTTTTAAAGAGCATGAACAGGTAGAATGTACCCCAGTGTTACATTTTAACATCAGAAAATCAAATCCTGCCACCCAAGTGTTTGAGAATGAGGAGTAAGTCACTGTTTTTGCTAAGTGTGAGCCACACCTTTGGAGAGCATGTTCATTGGCCAGGTGGAAACCAATGCCAGCATGCAGAGTGAAAAATTAAGTGAGTGGATGTGGTAGATTCTATTATTGTTGAAAATATTTACCACCCTTTTCTGTTAGAGACTGATACTTCCTACTCCGAGGTCAGTCTTGGTCAAGGGCTTGCCAAATGGCATTCCAGTGTAAGTGACATGTGCCACTCCTGAGTGGAACCTTAAAAACATTCTGTGGTTCTGTTGCCCATGAGGCCAACATACTCCAGACTCTTTCATTCTGAGCTGTTTCTCCAGTCTGGGTCCCAGAATTACAGCTGACCAACAGTAGATAAGATTGTGAGCAAGTAGATAAGACCAACAGTAGATAAGATTGTGAGCAAGAATATTGTTGTAAGTTGAGTTGCCTGGGGTTGTTAGACTAAGCTCCAGTAAAAGGCTCTATAGAGAACTTACTAATGAAGAACAGGATAAAACAGAAGTCTAAGGTTACATCATGTGAGGAAAGAATTTGCTCCTTTATCTAAGGCCTGGATATGTTGAGAGACAGAGATGAATATTAGAGGACGGTGGCAAATCCAAATTAGAGAGAATGACAGATAATACGAAGTACCACCAACAGTGAAAGAGTATCTTATCAAAGACACAGGGCAAGGTGGGCCTTGGGGATGAGAGAGAAAACAATCTGTCAAAGACAGCAACAAAGGTTGGTAAAAGTAGAGTTGAAAGAAGGAAATTCAAGCAAGTAGGAAGAAGATGGTCCCCTTCTTTTGAGAAGGTTAGAGGTAAGGACAGCTGCTGGGAGTGAGATGTGGACATGGGGTGAATAAGGGTCCTGAAAGTGAGGTTGATTTTTAAGAATCTATGTGCATGCTGACACTTCATTTCCTGATGGTCAGCCAGTGAAATGTTAACCCAGCTTATTTGCCAATCACAAAACTTTCATTTAATTGCTATTGGTTGTATATTTAACGCAATAAAAATGAAGAGCTATTTTGCTTTCTTACTAGCTTGTATGTTTATAAAGTCCAACAGGCCTTAAAACTGTTTCTTCTACTAGTATTTTGAGGAAATGAGTACAACAAACTGTAATCTCTTCAAAGAACACCGAAATAATTTTTTCTAGGTATGATATAGTAATTTGCCATAAATTGTTAAAAATAAACTATATTGGCCGGGCGCGGTGGCTCAAGCCTGTAATCCCAGCACTTTGGGAGGCCGAGATGGGCGGAACACGAGGTCAGGAGATCGAGACCATCCTGGCTAACACGGTGAAACCCCGTCTCTACTAAAAAATACAAAAAACTAGGCCGGGCGCGGTGGCTCAAGCCTGTAATCCCAGCACTTTGGGAGGCCGAGACGGGTGGATCACGAGGTCAGGAGATCGAGACCATCCTGGCTAACACGGTGAAACCCCGTCTCTACTAAAAACACAAAAAACTAGCCGGGCGAGGTGGCGGGCGCCTGTAGTCCTCGCTACTCGGGAGGCTGAGGCAGGAGAATGGCGTAAACCCGGGAGGCGGAGCTTGCAGTGAGCTGAGATCTGGCCACTGCACTCCAGCCCGGGCGACAGAGCAAGACTCCGTCTCAAAAAAAAAAAAAAAAAAAAAAAAAAAAACTATGTTATGTTTTTTAGGTATATCAAGGTTTCTCAATTTTTACAAATTAGATGTTAAGATACTTCTAACAACATGTGATTGAATCGGTGCATTTAAGGAAATAAATGATTTGGACATACGTATTGTTCGAATTAAATTTGACCACAAAAGTTGTTAAATCTTTTATTATTAATTTTGCTAAACTCATTATGCAACTGAACTACTCAAGTCTTTGGTTTCAGGTTCATTCAAGCTTACTTATAAAATTGTATTTCTTTACACAGAATATTTTGCATGCAATTTCCTCCACATTCTTTTACTGTAAACCTAGAAATCTAATAGTGCAATGTAATCTGTGATGAATTAATAAAAGAAAAATGTGTTCCATAATTACCCTGGTCAAAAGAGGTTCTAAGCCATTTGGAGCAGTGGTTGGACGAAATCTTCTCCTTCTCCATGTTTCAGATCTATTTTCTCTTGTGATTTTCCCATTTGGGGGTGGTGGAGGAGGAATAGGCATCATGTAACTGTTAATGTTTGGAAGTTGATATGAATTCATTCTCTGTGAATTGCCTATGGAGTTCCTGAACTTCATCACTGCCTTCTTGCCCTGTAATCATATTTCATCACATAAGAAGCAATGAAACAGAATCAGTGACTCAGTGTAACCCAAATTTAAAGACAAGCCTAAATGATTGACATTGCATGCAAACACAACTGATATCAATAGACAAACTCAAAACACTCCAGTCTGCTGAAAAATGACACTTTGTAGCATCTGCAGCAAATTAAATATTCATAAAATTCTAACCTTATGTGGTATATTTTTTAAATAACATAAAGTGATGACTTTTTATAGTACTTTTGGGGTTTTTCTTCAACAATCCATTAAATCCAACACAATTAAACAATTTAAAATCAAGAAGTTTGAAGTGTTGTGCTTTAAAGCAGAGCTTTAGCCCACTTTGCAATAGGAAATTAGTACTTTTCTCATATTCTGATTTCAAGCATCTAGGTATTAGAATATGCAGGGTTTGCAAAGCTATAAACAAACTGGCATGTACTGTTTAGCATAAATAACTCATGTACTATTTAGAGTAAATTATTACCACATTTACAGAGGGAGCATTAAAATATTTATCAAAATTTTAAGGTACATACCCTTTGACCTAGAAATTCTAGTGGTAGGAATAAATCCTACACCAATAACCATACAAGTTTACTAATATAAATGTGTGTAAGGATACATATACACACATACACACACACACACACATATATATATAAGGAAGTTAGTCACACAAAATGTAACATCATATAAGTCCATCAATAGGAGGGTGTTTAACTAAATCTTGCTTTGTTCATATGATAGATCTCACTAGGCTTAAACAAAAATAACATGAATCTATTTATCCTGAAATTAAAAGGTTCATATGGTATGACCATAAATTTCTTTTAAATAATTTATGTGTGAATTCTGATTAAAAACAACAATGACTGAAAAAAATTGAATGTGGGGCTGCCTTTAGGGATATACCTTCATACTGTTTTAGAGTTTAATCAGCATGTATTATTTTAATCATTAAAAAACACCAAAGGTATAGTCAATAATTACATTTGTCAGGTATAAGTGAGTCACTGAATTTTCACAAATTGGTAATTTTTGTGTACCTGAGGTAGTTTTCCAAATTTTAAGGAATATTTAAGTAGATTTATATATTTTGCAAAAATTTACTTATATTTCTAAAATATCAATTTATATTGTACTTATGTTTATTTTGAAATTTCTAATTAATTTTTGACCAACTTAGTTTGTATTTTAATATGGCTATTGGTGAAAAATTATTTTGTAGAAAGAGAAGTCATTCTCTAAATATCTCTCATTGCTAAATGAGCAAAAGGAACTTATAAGCGAAGGGGATGGATAGCCCATATTTTGATTGAAAAAAGCATATGAACAGAAAGAGATTTAAGTAGATATTCACCAAGGAGTTCACAATTGTTAGAATGGTTGATATTGCATTGTGTCACGTTCTAACTTTGCTTTTCTTATATTTTCCATTTTTTCTGTAATGGAGCATATTTATATTGTAATAAAAAATAAAAGTAAGTAAAAAAATAATAAGGACAAGAAAATCAATGAATCTAGAACTTTTTGAATTTAAGGATTTAAAACAAAATGATTTCTGTGTAGGTATCAATCAATTGCATGCCTTGTTTAGAAATGGTTTATCATTTTTTCAAAAACATTAACATGTTGTTCTTTACCTTGCTTGTTTTAGTTCAACAGCATTGTGGACATCTTTTCATGCCAGTGCAATAATTCTGCTTTATACATTTTTTTTTTTTTTTTTGAGACGGAGTCTCGCTCTGTCACCAGGCTGGAGTACAGTGGCGCGATCTCGGCTCACTGCATGCTCCGCCTCCCGGGTTCAGCCATTCTCCTGCCTCAGCCTCCCGAGTAACCGGGACTATAGGCGCCCGCCACCACATCCGGCTAATTTTTTGTATTTTTAGTACAGACAGGGTTTCACCATGTTAGCCAGGATGGTCTCAATCTTGTGACCTTATGATCCGCCCGCCTCGGCCTCTCAAAGTGCTGGGATTACAGGCCTGAGCCACCACTCCCGGCCCCTGCTTTATACTTTTTAAATGTACTTTAATATAACACAACAAGGTAAAACAATACGCTATTACTTAGGCATCTTCCAGTTGTTCGCTATTGCAAATACAACAGTACAAAATATTCTTGAATCTGTTTCTTTATACATATGTGTGTATTCCTAGGATAAATTCCTACTTGTTAAAATGCTTGAGCGTGTTCATTTAAAATGGTGATAGATATTTGCATATTGCCTTCACAAATACTTGTACTAATTTCTACTTCTACCAATGATATATGAGAAACTCTCATTCTAAGGACATTCATTTTCAATCAAGTCATTATTTTTACTCATTTGCATCTCATCCAGTCTGTTTGTGACCAAATCACTTTTGCCTAAATTAAAGACTCTCACTGCTGCTACTTAGCAAAGTTCAACCTACTTCTATCTGTTGTACCTTCAAGTACTTTCAACATGTATATACTTTACTCTTTTAAAAAGCAATAAGAGTTTTCTGAATGCTCACTACATGCTCAGCGCTGTACAGAGTATTATTCTTCTTTAGGAGCTTCTTGTCCGATTTTATATTAAATCATTGTCATCATCAGTGCCATTGAAAAAAATTACAGATAAGACATAATCACAGTATACTTTGTCTGTGAACATTACACTGTAAGCTCCAATAAGTTACTTTTGGCTATCTTGATGCCTAAAGCAGTACCTAGGCCATCGTAAATGCTCAATAAATATTTACTAAATGAAAAGTGAGTTTAGCTAGTTGACATTATTGTGGAATTTATCTCAATCTTGTCAGCACATGAGAGCTACCATTAGCTGCCTGCTCTCAATAACACATACCCCAAAAACTTGAAACAGGAAAAGGCCCTGTAAAGATTCAATTAGTAAATCTATCCAGTGGCTCAGAACAGATTTGAAGAGTCACATTAAAGGAAAAAATAATTGCTCCCCAGCCAGCAGAGCTTAAATAATACCTGATTGATGGTGTCCACGTATCTAATGGGACAAAGTATTGATCAAAGTAGAATTAATAATTATGGAACTTAAAAACGAATATAATCACCTTGGCAAGCATGGAAAGTACCCATCCGAGTACTATCTAGGGGAGAGGAAATCCTACCCATTGGACTTTGAATATTTCTAGTCCTAATGTCAAAGTTACCGCTGGAGGATAAAGAGGGTTTTAGTCAAAGACTTTTGAGTTTTCTGGTACCTTTGGCTAGCCCATTCCCAAGATGAGACGAGTGTATCAGGCCATCTAGGCCTTATATGATTAACATTCTATTACACTGTATCCCCTCATTCTGATTCCATGCTCACTAGGCAACTTTCTCATTGTGATTTGGCTTCTCATATATGTCTGCCTACTAGGGGATAATGCACTTCTATAAGCTTTGACTATGACATCTCTTGGTGAATAAATAGCTCCTGAATACCATTGAGTTTCCTATTTTTGTTTATTATCTAGGGAAAAATGAGCTTGTTTTGAGTTCGTTTAGTTAGCCTGGACAGTCTCACAAGATGTGACTATTCCCAGACACTGGCTAACACAGGAACTCTCTGGGCCTTCAAAGTGGAGACCAGAGCCTAGAAAGTGTCAAACTAATTGACATATGACTCAACAAGTTCCTGCCCAACTGTAAGTAGTCTTCCCTAGATAAAGCACCACCACTTTTGGATTAATTTCTCTTGGTTTCTAGAAAACTATTATTAAATTAACTGAAATAAGATTTATGAAAAGTGCTTCAGAAACTGAAAAGCACATTAAGTGGATTAATATATTATTATTTTTAGTGTTGTATTTATACTTTTACTGTGAAACACAATCATTTGTCTGAATTAATTTCTTAGTGTCAAGGTTATCTGTCAATTAAAAATAAAAATATCTTAATTTCATGTGTCTTATGTTTCTTAAGAAATGAAACATAATCATTCCTTTGAACATAATGACAATTGTACTCATGTCGCAGGTTTTTTCTTAAGCTGGCAAAATTTTCTTCATGTTAGAAAAATTAACAATACCTTCCAAATTAGTGAATGTACTAATTCTTCCTCCCTATTTAAGTAACTCATATTCCATGGTTACCATAACTCCTTCCTGTGCTCTATTAAATAAGGGAAAATTATCTGAGATATAACCTTGAGAGGGTAGCAGAAACAAGCTCCTATGTGTGATTAACTCAGCATTTTTTAAAGATGGACATTCTTTTCTTTCTATATTCAACCTTCTAAAAGTCAAACTTGAAGCAATTTCATACATTGATGGGAAAGTAAGTCAGCATGCAAATGCAAACCTATTCTTGGAAAGTTTCATTTTCTAGGTTTCATGCATTTAAAATTTGGAGGAAGTCAACACTGGGCCTTTTCTGATAGAAGTCATATCTGGTTCGGAAAAGTTTTCCCCTTTGTTTTTCAATCAGCCTTGTAAACTAATGAGAAATCACCATACATTATTACCAATCTGTTCTTTACTTTTTTGCTCAATGACACAAATTATAGGCCTTCCCATTTGAGTAAGACATAATTAATCACAAGTATGTAGTAAGTATTGTATACATATACAATATAATTTTCACTGTGTAGATTCTAATCTAATATAATACCTTGACCACTATAATTACCTATAATAATCTACTCAAAAATGAAAATATATTTGTTGACAAAAATAACATTTACCCCAATGGGAAACAGAGCTTCGTTTTCCAGCAATGAGGTTTTTGATCTGGACCTCGAAGTTACCTTTGGAACAGTTTCTACTGCAGGGTGACTGGGAAGAGGCTGTAATCGAATTGGAGGCTGCATGTTTCCTGGAGCAGTATATGGTCGAGGGGCTGTCTAGACAATTAAGGGAAAAAATTCCATTTAAATTAGTATCTTGACATGTTTCCAGAACCAATTAATAACCCAATAAATTGCCTAGTGTAATTAATGGTGCCTTTTTACTGAACAGATTAAACTTTAATTATGTCCTTCCATTATACATACCCTTATGACCCAAAGTATTTGTTAAAACATATGGTGTTGAAGTCCTCTACATAACTATATGCCACAATTATAGAGTATTCTAGACAAAGGAGATGTCCTCTGTTACATTCCTGTATTTTTATTCATACTGCAAACTTGCTGACAATAACTAATTTATGCTCTTCATACAATGGCTTTGCTCAATTGAATGTTACGCTGAATAATGTTCCTATTTTAGGGGTCTAAAAGAATATTATTGGAATGGACTCATTTCTGTCTAAATGTCTTCTATATAAACTCTACTCTGAATCTTTTCAGCCTTAAGACTGGTGCTGAAGTAAAAGCGACAGTATAATTCAAACAAAAGAGGAAAGGAAATGCATTGCAATTTATTCAACGGCATCCTTGAAATACTAGGAAAACAAAAATAAAAAAAAATGTAACTGTCAACTTTGGAAAATGTATATAGAATTGGATATGTTTTCTATGCTAGATATTTTCCATTTGTCTCTCTAGATCTACCGTTCACCTTCTCTGGCCTGACCTAGACTTTGGGGGTCACTCCTTTTGGGACTACACTCACTAACCTCAGGATTGCAGCTGGAGTACACCAGTGAGAGGCACTAGCAGGAGATGAGATTAGGGTCTTTCTTCTCCTTGACTCACCGTGCAGGGTCATAATGGGCCAGGTAGGTCCCTCTACCAAAGTCCACAGCTCCTTCTGGGAAGCCCTCTCCCAGTTACAGGTACTAGCAGCTGGTTCTGGTATCCAATTCCTCTGTTCTCCCATTAGGCCTGGGTGCTGTGGCTTCTGACATGCTGACCCTAGCATGCTTAGCATCCCTAGTTGGATTTCCTTAGCCCTGCCTACTTCTTTGCAAATAGTTTATTAAACACTTTCTGATTACACTGTTTGTTTGAGCCATCTGTCTCCTGCTGAGCCACTGATTGATGCATTTTCTAATCGAGAATGTACTGCAGCAAATGCCAGAAGTGCTAGTATAATGCATTAGAAGTGCCTTTGGGGGCATTGAAAGAATATTGTTAGTTTAGTATAAAGACTAGCAATGTGGCTGGGTGCAGCGGCTCACACCTATAATCCCAACACTTTGGGAGGACAAGGTGGGTACAACACTTGAGCCCAGTAGTTGGAGATTGGCCTGGGCAACACGGTGAAACCTTGTCTCTACAAAAAATCCAAAAATTAGCTGGGTGTGGTGCTGTGCACCAGCTGCTCGGAGTCTGAGGTGGGAGGTCACCTGAACCCAGGCAGGTCAAGGCGGCAGTGAGCTGGGACTGTGCCACTACACTTCAGCCTTGGCCACAGAGTGGGATGCTGTCTTAGAAGAAAAAAAAAAAGAAAAATAGGTTAGCAATGTGTCAAAAGTAGAATACATCAGACTTTTGACCCAATTGTTCTAATGCAATAAAATAGTAGAAAGCCTATCAAGAACAGTACATACATATTTAGGTAGGAGGATGAGAAGGATGGTATATAAGTGACTAATGAAAAGCGTTTAATACATTGACTTTAAAGAATGGTGAACAACAAATATTCAGCTCTGGAAAAGTATGTGTAAATACTTCAAAAAATGATGATAAGGCAGCTCCTACTACCAAAAACCAGCCTTAGAAATTAGGCTTAAGAAGCATGCCATATGTTGCTAAATCTCTGATTTTGTTAAGTCAGCATTTATTGAATTTCCACCATAGAAACCGTGAGAACATGAAAAGTATTTTTTAACATCTAATGGCAACACAAAACAACTAGTGTCAAATGAACCACACAAATACTGCCAAACAGACAATAAAATACCTGAGACCATAACTTAGAAGTAAAAGTTCTTAGAACGTTTAGGGTAAGCCAAGGAGGCTAATACAACTTAAAGTTCCACAAAAGCAGTTGGATTTTATCCAAATGGTAAACAAGAGAAGAAAGTGGATAAGCAGAGAAGAAGGATAAATTTGAACATCCAACCAGGAAGAGAGCTGGTTGTGAGCAAGACCTGGAAAGAGTAGCAAAGATAATATTCCCCAATATCTGTTTTCTTTTTTCCACTGGGAACATGGTTACTATGAATAAAGATGATATTTTCCAGCATCCCTTGCAATTCTGTGTAGAGGTATGCCTCAGTTTTGGCCAATAAGATGTGAGCAGAAGTGACACATGAGACTTCCAGGTCATGTGGTTAGAGAGAAGATATGTGCTCTCACTTTACCCTTCCCTCTGGCTGAAATATCCAAATGGTGATATGCCATCTTGGCTTTTATGGATAAAAGCGATACCCTAAGTCTGGCAGATCAGCAACACAAAAGGAGTCTGGACTCTTGATGACTTCATAGAGTTAAGATAGCATGCCAGCTGAGACTCATGTATATGCTGAGATGGGGAGGAGACCCTTTCGTTTATGCCAATGTTATTACATTTATGGTTTCCATACACAAACCTATATCACAACCAATATGAGAAGCCAAGTGAATTGACTAAAGCAACATTTGGTTTAAAGAAACAAAAAAATAAGCCTATATAGTCCAAAAGGTAAAAGGTCTTAAAACCCAAAAGGAGAAATTAGAATAGAGGTTTCTGAACAAAGGAATCAGATCACCTAAAAGAATTCATTTGAACTTTGTAAAACAAACATGCCTCAAGGATCTCTCCTGTCAAATAATCCAACTGAACGCAAAAACTTGAAAAATCTATTGTAGAAATTCAAGAGAACAGTTTACTGCAAAGTAGAACATGATCTATCGGCTGCTGTGCTCTAAATTTTACTTCCCTACATTTGCATGTAGATATCATTCAGTTAGATGAATGTGGTAGTCAAATGTTTAACTGATTACATTTATCTCTAAAAACAAATCTGCACCATTAACTAACAGCTGTGAGCTACAAATTGTTGTAGTTCACATCAGAAGCCACCTTAAATTCGTTATATTTTAAATTGTGTGTAATATATTTTCTTGGAATAAATATGGCATTGTAGCTTAACATTCTGAAAACCATACCAGAATAGGAATTGAAATTAACTACCTGGTGATTACTCAGCTTAGCTGAGCATTTCTAATTCTTAGTAGATCAGTAGGGGTGAATGTTCCAAGCATATGCAGAATTAGCTGAAATGATTTTCCATAGTTTTAATGGGAGTGGTACAGCTAAAAATCTGTATACTATTTTGAAAGTTTAGGTTACCAAGGGCACTAACATTGTGTTGGATGATTTCCTTATTCACTTAAAAAAGTTAAAAAAGAAAAAAAAAAATCAATGGCAATATCTCAAAAGGATTATTATCTTTATCTCAGGGACACTTGGAGATCATAAGTCAAATTTAAAGAAGATGTATCCAGATTGGAAAATAAAAAAGGAGGGAGATTTTGATTTCTGTAAAATGGGAACTATTTAATTCCAAGATCACAATAGGTATCACGGTGCAAAAGCAACATCAGGGCGGGCCATGTGAAGAATCCTGGCTTACCAGAGAGAAAGGTTTTTGAAGCTGGTGTCAGTGTTTCCTGTAATTTTAAAATTACTTTTTCACTCCTACCACATTAAGATCTGCTGGATGTATCATAAACTATTTATTGAGGGTGTTCAGCTGGAAAATTGAAAAGAAAGCCTTTCAAGGATTTTTCCTCTCTGAAACAGGTGGGAAGACAGGAAACAGCACGTGATTGTTTCTTTTGTTTCACTCAGGTTAAGCTTTTGAAAGTCTAGTGAATTTGCCATCCAATAAAAGAATTTGTATACATATATATTCAAATCAAACCTGGAAATAGGGTGACAACAAAGGAAAGACGGTTGCTTTTCATCATTTGAGCTGTTCATCAAGAAATGTCAAAACATATTTACCCTTTGAAAAATGTCAAAGCTTAACACTATATGTGATGAACCTACTTCAACAATCTGTGAAAGCATTGCAATTTCTCCATAAATATTTTGCAATTCAGAAAAAGTACATGCTAACAAGGAAATATATTAGGCTATATGAAGCAAGAATAAAGATATAATCAAGCAATTCATTTACAACTTAAACCACCAACCCCCAGCAAATGTTTTACAAATCTTTTCCTGTATCTATATTATTTCAAGGTACTTTACCTTCCCTCAGGCAAACACCACCTTTAGATTAGAAAAGAATCAAACTGGAATAAAATATCACTGTTTAGTTTCTTCGGATAGAATTTCTGTACATTTAATTATTTTTATCTTAGAGTATGTGCGCAGACTTTTAATAAAAGAAGCTCAAATGTTAGTATTTAGCCCAATATTCTATATGGAACCATTGACAATATACAGATAAGGTGGAAGTAGAGGGAACAGCAAGAACAAAATCCAGAGGTCAGAAAATATAGAATATGTTTAGTGGTCCCATTTGGCTGCATTGAAGGATGCTGAAGAGTAATCATGCAGAAAAAAATTTGGAATAGCTAATTTGAGGTCATATGGTTTAAGGTCTTAAATGTCACCTGAGAGTCTGAGCTTTTCTCAGGCCAGGGAAAGTATTTGGGTATATAAGTAACATAAGTAATCGGGACTTTCAGAAAACTAATCTAGCATTCATGAGCAAAATAGATTTGGCAGTAGTGATATTTACTGAAAGTGAGACATTCAGAAGAGATACAGTTGAATAGTTATAAGACTATATTTTCATTCAGTAGGACTGGCAGGGATTATGCAGACATGCTCCCAGAGAGTATCCTTTCTGAGAATAAGAAATAATAAATTAATTGGCTGGGATACTGCATGACAAAGTGTTTAATATTACTCACCAGTGCTAATGGACTGGAATGTCCTTCATCAACCAGAACACTATGGCCACGATTAGTCTTTGGGCCAACTGGTGGGTGGGGAGATAGGATTGGCATGTTATTTTCAACAGACCTTCTTATGTGCTCTCCCTAGAATAAGAAAGCAATTTAGCAAATAGACACAGAGTTAGTAATCTAGGTTAGATTATGCATGACATGTACGAAATACTATATGACTAAAGAAATTCTTTCTTGTTTCTTCCAAGAGTTACTTTTGTTAAGGAGTTAGGTGTGGTGGTAAAAGGCAAGAAATTGAGTCAGCTTTAGTTGTGCTCAAAGAAATAACTGCAAAAGCAGTGTCTCCTCCATTTTAGCAATATTTGTTAATTTTAAGCAGATCACTACAAAAGGCATAATGAACTTTACTACTGTGATCAGTAGACTACCAGAAAATAGTACTTTTCTATCTTAGAAAATAAATAATTCCATTAGGCAAAAAGTGTCCCATGTTTTAAAAAATGAGAGCTAAAATATATCTTGTGCCAAATTCAGTAATAAAGTGAAAACTGTTCAAATAAAAATCATATGAAGAGGCACAAGGGTAGCAAATCTCTGACAATGCTACAATATGCCCATGTACTTCCTTTAGTGGGTCTGGCTACCTGGGCAAGGGTGAATAACACATAGCAACTTTTCCTGCTTCATGCAGTGTGAGTGACTCTAATTTTTCCAGTAACCACATTTTTTCCATCAACATTTCAGCAGATAAATTATAGAATCTATGACTTAGTCCCTGATGTAGGGCAATATTGGCAAAACTGGATTAACCACAAATCTCTACACACCAACTCTTTGATCTTGAAAAACTGACCCATCCTCTGTCATTTGAAAACATTTTTGTAACAAAATTATCTTCTCACCCTGATAAACTAGACCTGAGTCCATCAGGCAAGGGTGAAAAATTACTGTCTTTTATGACAAGTTATTCTACAGAAGCTTTACAAATATTCATCAGTTCGTGAAACGTATCTGAGGCCACATATTTGTAATACCACAGTACACAGAAAATTAAGAACAACATGTGATTACGAATGACTTCAGAAATTGAGTAAAACTGCCAACCTAAATGGAAATTTTGAATTTAACTGAATATCTCATCTCTTGATTCAAGTTTATATTTCCTGAGTTCACTGCAAAGAAGATATATTTAAAAATAGAAAACAAGGAATTTTAAAATGCCTTTTACAAAATCTACACTTTATCATGCTTTCTTTTGCTAATGAGGATCCTTTCCACCATATATTTCCAAGGGTCACATTCAAATGAAAATGTGTCATAGTATCATTCTTTTTTTTTTTTTTTTTTTTTTTTTTGAGACAGAGTCTCGCTCTGTCGCCCAGGCTGGAGTGCAGTGGCGCAATCTCGGCTCACTGCAAGCTCCGCCTTCCGGGTTCACGCCATTCTCCTGCCTCAGCCTTCCGAGTAGCTGGGACTACAGGCGCCCGCCACTGCGCCCGGCTAATTTTTTTTTATATTTTTTAGTAGAGATGGGGTTTCACCATGGTCTCGATCTCCTGACCTTGTGATTCTTAAAAAGCCCTTTTTACCATCAGGTTGGAAACATTACCATCCATTTTTACCTTCTTAAGACACAAACAAAAATCCCTTGCCCTCTATCACAAGAATATATAAAAGCAAAATTTCAGGAACATTTTCAAGTTTGTCTTTGAAAGGTTTGTGCCTCATTACAATTTATTTTGTACAAACAGCTTCTATTTTTGTCACAATCTTCTGTAATAGTGATGGCTAAAGTGTAGGCTTGGTTGAACCATCATTGACTTCAACTATGTTTTACCCAAAAGTAAAGTGTCCCAGGGAACTAGAATCATAGTTTCACTGTATTTTTATGTTTTTTTAAATCATAAAATAATACTATGAAGTAAAAGACAGTTATATAACTCCTTACCTTAAACATCTGGATTCGCTCCTTCCTAGCTAAAGTCTCCAATTTCTTTTTTATTTCAAGCTGATGGTAACGCTAAGCATACAGGAAAGAATAAAGGAGAGAATCATATCGGTTATAGCAACGACCAGTTTACAGAAAAATAATTCCAACAGCTAACTATATTCTCAATTACCCCTCTTGTCATTGAAATGGAGAAGAATCATCTGCATCAGTGCACAAGTGGGAATATAAATTGGTGCAACTATTTGGAAATTCAATTTTCAACATATATTAGGCAGTTAAAAGTGTTCATAACCTTTAACCCTTAAATTTCATTTCTGAACCTGTGGGAAATCTAAGTAATTTTTTAAAATGTCTTATGCACAAAGATGCTATCTGAAAATTTTTTTTTTTCCTTTTACTTTAAGGTAAAAGAAAATGCAGAAACAACATAGACTATAAAGAGAATGGTTATATTTCTGGCACATCCATATGATGGAATAAAATATAATTGATCATTTAAATAATGGTTCATACAGATCATTAAATAAGGTTCATACAGATTCTGTTTAAAAAGATGGACAACGCACCTAATGCAGGATAAAAGCAGGATACAGAATTTCACAGAAATACAATTTAATTTATCAAGCTCTTATTGTGTGTCTGTCCCTGTGCTAGGAAGATGTTTCACATACATTTTCTTCTTGAACAACTCTAATTGCCAAGCCACCCTATTTTACAAACAAAGACACTGAGGCAGAGGATAATGAACTTGCCCCAGGTCATATACCCAGCCAGTGGAGGAGCTGTAATTTCAGCCTTGGCCTATCTGACACTAACTTCCTGTTTTTTGCTTGTTTTTTCACAAAACCTTGTTGTCCCTGTCACAACATAGTATGAGTTTACTAAGGTAAAAATATGAATAGAAAAGAGACTAGAAAGAAATGGATGTTAACAGCAGTTGTCTCTGAAGGAGGAATTGTATATAATTATTTTCCTTTTTTATGCTTTCCCCCCCAAGTTTTTGTAATATATTATTCTACAATTTAAAAATAAGCCTCACGTAAAAATAATCCATTTAAAAGGCAAATTGAAATTAATTAGACATATTCGAGAGTGTTTTATTCATTGGCCCTTTGAAAAAATGTTTCGCCTCTGTTCTTGGTTCCCTCCTACTGCCTTAGGAGCCCTGCAGACTCAATAATTCCCTATCATCAACCCTCTTCTTAACACTTCCCTTTCCTCTCTCTCTTCCTCTGATCTCCTACCCACTTATTATCAAACTGTTCAACTCACTATCAACCTTTTTCCACCTTCCATTTATTCCCAACTCACTGTAGTCATCCACATCGACTGACTTGCCACTTCCCTACTGCTGAAACTACTTTTGCCAAGTCCACCAATGTTTTTGTCTTCTGGGTCAAACCTAATTTCCCTTTGTTTCCCCAGTGCTCATCATTTTTAACCATTCTGCAGCTTGTGAGAATCTTCCCGCTTTCAGGACACCATTCTAACAGGCATGTTTGTGACCACTTGAAGGTTCCTTTTCAGCCCATGCTGTTGTTCTTGATCTCCTGCAGTGCACATACCTCCAACCAGGTGAGAAACTCTTTCTTCTGAGCTCTTTCTTCTCCCTCACTCCTTCGCATTCAGTCAGCTTAAATCTTTCTCCCACTTCAGCTTCTCTGTAGACAGCTGCATCTCCCAGCACTACCACTACTGCTATTAGCCTACACCCTTCGGCAATAGCTTCCTAATTGACCTCCCACCTCCAATCTTTTCCAGCTCATTAATCCATCTTCCACATTTTTAGCAACATCATCTTTCTAAAACAGCTCTGCTCATTTCTTTTACTCCCCTGCTGAAAAACATTTCATCGCCTCATCACCTACACCCCAAAGTTACTTGAGAATTTAAGGCTCTCCAGAGACTGGGTACCAACTTGTGGGAGAGTGTCACTTTTTGCCACTCCTGCCAACTGACCCACTGTGCAGTCTGGCCTCAGTGAGAGTTCCTTTCCATCTACTATGTCCTTTCACACCTCTGTAACTTCTGAGGTCTAGAGAACCTTTTCCACGTTTTCACAGGAACCCTCACTCAGTCTTCAAACAGCAAGGCCTCTGTTCAGCTTCCTCTGACTCCCACAGAGAAAAGTCATCCTTCTCTTCTTTTCTGAGCTCACTCTATTTGTTCCTCTTCTCTAGCACTTAGTCACATTCTACAGTATTTTTTTAAATCCTACCTTGCAGCTTCAACACAGAGCCTCATACTGGCACATGGTAGTCTGCAGTTATGGCTTGTTGCATGAGTGAATGCATGAATGTGAATACAGCAGTATTAGCAAGGAGCATCAGCATAAACTAAATGTGAGACAGATGTGACAATTTAAAGATAAATAGTTTGCTCTATTATATTTATATATGATTTATTCTATTATGTAACAATTATATTATTTAATATATTACATATTAACATTTATCTAAAATATTTATTCAGAACTAGGAATCCACAAAGATTTAAATAATAGCATATTCAACAGTTATGATGTGTCAGAATGTGTTAAGTGAGATTTTGAAAAACTAGACTTCAAGGATTAAGGCTAACAGAGAACTCAGTGCCTGTGGGGTAAATTTGAAACAAGGTGTTAATTTTATGCTGTACTATTTATTGTTTTCACAGAAAAATTACAGCTAATACTTTTATAAGCAAGAATTTAGGGCCACAAACAACAATTCTATGTAATTCACGGTCATGATATGAAGCACAAAGTAAATTCCTAAATGAACAGATCATACACATCTTAAGTGAACACTTCATCTACCTAATGCAGCATAATAATAAATATTTTCAGTGGCACTAGACTTAATATTGGTTTACTGATGATTCTACAGTTGTTCATAAATGTTTACTGCACTCACAGGTCAATGGTTTTACGAGCCAACTTTTCTGATTTACTGCTTGTATGGTCAAGCCAAGAAGCGACATGCTTTTTCACAGAGATTAAAATGGTGTTGATGCTTGAAACTTCAAGTTCCATGGAGCAAGGCTGAAATAATTTATCAATTAGCTAGATATCCCACTAAGATGCCCTGTCAGATTAAAAAAATATATTGTTGATGCTTGGTTTGTGCATCTATGTTGACCAGCGTGGCCTACGGTAGAAGGGACAGCAGATGTTAAAATGCCTATTCCTTGAAATGTAACATACGGCTGAGCTTCAGAGCCTTAAAAGAATAACGGATTTGAAATACTTCATGGCAATGGAATTACTGATATTTAAACAGATGTCACTTTTTTCAGCAAATGGAAATTGAGGTACAGATGGTGAGGGCTGGTATGTTTTAGAGTAGCCATTGTGAATGAAAAATCTACATTTGGAAAATTAAATATCACAAAATATATAATGATGTCCATATTTTTCTCCAACTGAAATGGAGAAAAGCTTACGCTAGACTTCTGGCTCCTGCCTGCCCAGAGAGATATTGAGTATTTCTTTGTTTCATTTTCTTTTTTAATGAAATGCAGAAAGAATATCTCTTTTTCTAGGTACAAAAGCATTATTAATTATCATATTAGACAATATCAATTACAAAGAAAATAGTAAAGATTTATACCTCCATCTTCATTGATGTGGAAGTAGAAAAAAATAAAATAAAAAATAAGTATATATTTATACCTCCATATCAAGAACTTTATGAAAAATTGCCTGGGCTAAGCACTCCCGGATATATTTTTGATGATCCCGCTTCATCATATTTAGTTTATATTCTTTTTCAGAAAGTATTCTTCCACTTCTTGTGATCTGTCATGAATAAATAAAACATACATAGAAATATAAAATAGAAAATGTGGTGTTAGTTTCCAAAAAAGAGAGGCTGGAGGGTGGAGAAGACAGGCACACACACACACACACACACACACACACACACACACACACAGAGAGAGAGAGACCTTGGGGAGGCGGGGAGGGAGGGAGAGAGAAAAAAAAGGAGAGGGGAGAAAGAGGGAGGGAAAGCAGCAGTAGCTTTTAAGCCTAAAAGAATATATCACTATGGTTGATAAACTTTCACTTTTAATGCATATTTCATAAGCCAAAAAGGAGAAAGGAAGTCTCATACACCCTTCATTGTGAAAACACACACAGGTGGTACACTTGACGTTTAAAACAAGATTTTCATCACAGTAACAATTTTCCCTTGATGGAACCCAGGTGTTCTTTTCATTTCTCTTTTGAACACTTTCCTGGAGGAACAGGTTGGGGTATTACCTTGAAACAATGACCAGGAGCAGTGATCATAGGACTGATGGTCTCGCAGGAAATACTTTCATGGGAAACATGGTAGCTACAGAGGAGCTCATCAGTTTGTTTTAAAACTAATTGGTTTCATTACTTTGTTTTCCTACTGCTTTTTTTCTTCCACTCTCCAGCCCAAAATGTAATTTAATTTGTTGTTTTGATTCAGAATTTTACACATTATGCGGTAGCATACATAGAAGATATTCAATATTGGTCTCAACTGGCATCATTGCAAGTCCCAGGAGTGACCATTTTTGTTGTGGATTTACTTATTTTCCTTTTCTTTAATTCTTCCTGTGGGCATATTTGTTGATGTGTTGTATTGTTCTCTATCCCCTGTAAACAAAGAGCATTACCCATATGGATTGTTTACCTTCTTCTTTTCCACTTATTTAAGCTTTGCTCCCCTCTTTCATGCAAGACACATATTTTTCTTAATTCTGCTAACTATATTTTTTTACCACTACTGTTGCAACACACTGGAGTATTGAGATCAACCAGAGTTGTGCTACAAGTGATGGGTTACTGGTACTCTTTTTTTGCAAATACATTTTCCAATGGAAGAAAGAGATATACCTATAGAAAGTGTGCTTGGAATTACAGATAATCCACTTACAGTCTTTGTGCGACTATGTCTGAGCTCCCCAACTAGAGTGGAAGCTCCTATAGGGCAAAGGTGCTTAAACTTGACCCTGCATCAGAACCACCTGCAGAGCTTGTTGAAAAACTGATAGGCCCCTTACCAGAGCTTCTGATTCGACTAAGTCTGCGGCAGGGCTCTCATATTTGCATATTCTATCAGGATTCTGGGTGTCCCTGAACACTGCTAGCTGAGAGGCTATATTTGAACCTCTAGAGAAAGAGCTGCATCTTTCTTATTTGAATTGCCATGCATACAACCAATGTTCAATAAGTGCTTGTTAATGATGCTGATAAGTAAATACAAAGTCCTTCCCATTTGTACGCAAAACTCACAGACTGTTATCCAAAGAAGTGATGTTAATAGTAACAATAATTACAACACCCATTTATTGCACATCTCTAACTGCCACAACAATTCTGAGCGCTGCGTGCCATCATTCTCATTTTACAACTGAGGAAGCTGGGGCTGAAAAAGTTAAGAAAGTGATTTACTCAAGATTCTATGGCTTATAAATGGCAAGCTCGGTTTCAGCAGGTCTGTCTGATAACAAAGCCTCAGGAGGAGAAAAGCAAGCTCTCTGAGATCTATCAGCTAGAGTGCCAAGCACAGAAACAACGATTAGAAATGCAATACGTGCTCTTTCAACACCATGGCAACAATAGTTAAGGAAACCCATTGTGTTTTAAGAAGGTAAACAGCTAACACTTTCTATAACCACATCTCTTTCTTTCCATGGAATACCGTAACATTTTGAAAAGGTTTGACATTGTATACATTCAGAGGAATAGAAATTTTGTGGAAAGAACAGTTGTGAAGCTAATGAAATACACTAATATTATCAATAAACCATCACAGTAAATAATTTGCTTTTAAATGTGGGGGAAATGTTGAAATGTACATGTCTTCCACACCATATTCCGTGAATATCAAAAGCAATATTTTTTCCGAAGATGACAGTAAAATCTTCTCTATCTTCAGTTCCTAACAGTTTCTAGCTCATACAATGTGTTCAGTAAATATGTGTTGAATGAATGAATAAACAAACAATTGAAATAGGCTGTTGGAAACTCTCAGGGCCTTTTCCTCAATGATTTATAAGTTTTCTTAGCAGTCATTGTGACCTGCCTTCCTATCTTCTCAGACAACCTCAAATACATAAATCAAAACTTTGGAAAGAAAGAAATTTTTCTAAAATGAGGGGAAGTGGAAGATGTCACTCAAAGAGAAAGTCTGAAAAGGTAGGGAATTATTGGACTTCATGAAGCAAGAAGGTCATTGGAAAGTAAACCAAAACTTACCAGTCCTGATCTTAAGAGATGACGCCTTATCCTTGTATTGTTAAAATACCCAGCCAGGTGTTTATCCATAAGGCTATTATATGCTGCAAGTAACCTAAAATGCAAAAATAAAACCAATAAGGTTTTACAAGGGGTTGTTTGATAACCAAGGCAATTCTTTACTTTCTCCCCAAACAGTGCATATTCATTCACTCATGCAGCCTGCCAGTCATTCATGTATGTATTTAATAAACATGTATTGAGTCCCTACTCTTTTGTAAGTCTCATGATAAGACCTAGAAAATCATCCTGATTTTAATTATTCCACAGACAAGTATTGAAATCACACATCAACAAGTAAAGTGAATGGGGGAAGTCAACAAGAGAAATATGCAAAAAGTCATGGCCGCACAGAGAAGGAGGCCACCAGCTCCAGTTGTCAAAAAGGGCTTCACAGAGGACGCCTGATGGGAAAGTAAGAGCTCCTTCAGCAGAGTCTTTAGCCTCTCATGACATACCCTAAACTCTGGTAACTCAAACTTACCTGCTGTCTCTCATGTTCAGAATACAATGTGATGCCCCAACTGTGAAGGCCCTTCCTTCACCTGCCAGCCAGTAGATAATATCTGTGGTGTATAAGCATCTCTTCGGAAATATTCTCTGATATGTCCTGGTGTGCTGTGTTGCCTTCCACTCCCGCTCCCCACCTCCTACCCCATAAGACCCTGAGTTACTATCTCATCACATAATATGTAATTGTTTATTTCTTGGTATCCTCTGCTAGATTTGAAGGCTAGGCCAGGATAGAGCATTATTCTTAGTATCCCTACTGATGTTATTTGTCATGTATCAAAATAATAATGTGCCCAGTAAATAAAGATATGATTTTGTTTGGGACTTATTTTTCTTGTTATAAGTTCCTAACTAAATTTAAGCTCAGTATTTTGAAGTGTTAACTTCCTCATATATATCTAGACATTTCCATTAATTTCACATCCAGCATCAAAATAATAATTCATAGATCACTTTTGATTTTTACAGTATTTTAAGAGTTAAAAGAGGATAAATTGGTTTGTTGATTATATGCTATACCTTAGTAAATTGTCAATCTAAGTCTGTATGTCAAAGTTGAGCACTATTTTCTGTTTCAACCTATCCTTCATTAATTATTCAGTAACTTACAAAAACATGTACACATATATGTATGTATACATGGTGCATGCACATACACATTCGTACATAGACATACACATAGATGTTAGTATATACAGTAGTCCTCCCTTATCCACAGGGAATACATTCCAAGACCCCCAGTGGATGCCTGAAACCATGGATAGCACCAAATCCTATGTAAACTAGGTTTTTTCAATCTGATATCCAATATGGCTGCTAAGTGACTAAAGGGTGGGTGGCATATACTGTGTGTATACCCAGGAAAAATGGATGATTCACATCCTGGGCAGGACGGAGCAGGACAACATAGGATCTGACAACACTACTCAGAACAGCGTGCAATTTAAAACATAAATTGTTTATTTCTGGAATTTTTCCATTTAATATTTTTGGACTGTAGCTGACCACGGGTAATTGAAACCACTGGAAGTGAAATCACAGATAAGAGGGGGCTACTCTGTGTGTGTGTGTGTGTGTGTACATATACACTTATATACATATATAGAGAGAGAGAGAGGGAGAGAGAGAGAAGGAGAGAGAGGAAAACAGACAGAGATAGACAGAGGCAGAGTCAGGGAGAGACAGAGAGAGAAAGAGAACAAGAAAGACTAAAGATAGTCCAAACACAAAGCTGTCTTTAAAAAAATGCATACCCTATTACAGGCAACAAAGTCTTACAATCTATACATTTTATGAGCCGCTAATCCTTAATTTATTCTGAGATCAGAGCAGGGACTCATATTGTAGTCAAGTAAATGTCATTAGCAACAATTTTATTTAACAGTTTGTACTCCTTAATTACATGGAGATGATATGGGTGACTTCTTCATGCCTCTTTTCTCCTTAACAGCACATCGCAGGAAAGTTCCATGCTGCCAAACGGTAAGAAAAGTTTAATTTCATCCTCAAAAGAGACTGAAAGCAGTTACAAAGCTTAGAAACCAAGGTGCCACATGAGGGTTGCAGACATATGAACAACTGCAAAAGCCATTATTTCACTAGGTTTATGTAAAAAGACAACCCAAGAGCTTCAGTAAGGCACATAGAAAACCAGCTCCAGTTAATGCTTTGAAACCATCTTTTAAATGAACTGTCTTGGTGTCCTATAGTTCATCAAAGGTTTCCTGTCTCCAAAAGGTCAACATTGTATACCTTACCCTTTCTAAATCTCAGAATATCTTTTCAGCTCCTCATTTCAGAAAGGTGAGCAGGTGTCTCTCAGTCCTAACAATCATGATTCCACAGTTCACAGATTCTTAAGATAAATCATTAGAGTTATATAATATATAGTCTTTTGTCTGTTTTTCAGGCTCAAGTTTTTTCTTAAAAATATCAATAGCTTGGGAATAGCTGGGAGTGCTAAAACCCTGATTAAATGAAATGGGGGTCAAAAAGTTGGGATCACATAAGCCTCAACTTCCTTATTGACTGATAAATTAGATCCTAATAACAATTGCTTGGTCAGCTGTGGTAGCACCTAATTTTAATTCTGCTCTCTCGGGCTTCTACTAACAAATGTGTGCATGATGCCTGTCCAGGCTTACAAATCGTCGAGCAGGTCCAATTAGGTTGAAACTTTTTACACATCACCTTTTCCTATTTAGGAATAAATGTGGGTTCTTGCTTCGGATACCATCTGTAAGCAACTCCTTCCACAACTATCATCCTATGACTAGCTTGGTAGAACAGCTGAATAATAACCAGCAGGGCCCACCCAGGCTCAGTTATTTCCTTTTCAGACAATGCTGGAATGTTTTAACTGAAACTTTAGATTACTAAATTGTTTGATATCAAGAAATTGCACTAAAGTTAATTATATACAGATTTGGTAAAATGGTCAATGCAAACATTTCCACTGCATACATATACATGTCACCATCTTTCTGACCATCAAGACTCCTTTCCAGGGAGATGGTCAAATGCTGTGTGGGTCGGTGTCAGCCACACTGTGGTCTGGCTGATCCTCTCTGTTCTGGTCCTTTTCACCTGTACTTGGCATGGACTTGTAGTCCACCATTGCAATTACCCAACTACAAGAGCTTCACTGACCAACACAAATTCAGGTTAGTAGAGCTTTTCTGAAATTCCACCCTTTCCTCTGCATTCATTGCCACTTATTCCCTTCACTTTTCTTTCTTTCTTTTTTTTTTTTTCCTTGCTCATGGCATAACCCTGGGCTGAATAAGGTCACCTTGCTCTGGGCTTGGTGACTGTGTTGCAGCTGAACACTCCATTCCTTTTGTATGTTACGCTCTGCATCCAGTGTCAACACTAGACTTCCTGGTCATGCTGCCTCAGGCCTGTGACCCTCCACTGCACCCTGTTCATCGATTCCATTGGTCACAGAAAGCACCAGGTCATTGTGATTATATTACTCGCAGGCCACGTTGTCATGTCAAGACCCACAACTCACTGGCCAGACCAGTCTACCATGTTTGTTTCTTTATGTGATGAACAAGATTATCTACCCATCCCCTGGTCACTAGGTGGGGAAAAACCCACTTGCTGGCTCAATGCACTGGGGAAAACAGTCTCCCAGGAAACACAGCAACCTTGTCTCCATGGTGGCTTCTGTTTCCCTCACTTCAGTGCAGATGCCACATCCTTCAGGGCCTGAAGTTTAGAGGAGTCAAAGCTGAGTTACTGGGGTGCTACCTTCCCAGCTAAGGCCTTTCAGCACTTAACTCTCGGACCCTTGCCTCCCACCATGTAATATACAAATGTGGCTCTGTAGTAAAGTCAGTGATTCCTGACAATCCTTTCTCCTGATCCCAAACTGAGATAGTCTACCAAATAAAAATCCCAGCTAAAAGGAAAGGCACTATAATAGTTTTTTTAAATCACAAACGCTTATTGTTTAATGACTAATTTTAGGTTATTCTGTAAGGCATTGGGGACACAGAGATGGCACAGACACTGCACTCATGGAGCTCCCAATCTAGTGGGGAGATATACATATACATACTGTGTGTACATGTGTGTGTGTGTCTGTGTGTGTGTGTGTGTGAGAGAGAGAGAGAGAGAGACAGAGAGACAGAGAGAGAGAGAGAGAGAGAGATTTCTTCCTGCATCATAAGCTAATTCATTACCAAGTATCTTCATGTCAGGCCCTGAATCCTGAGCTGGGGAAGGAGTGTAATACCCATATTCCATTTTGCGGATTACAGAGCACTCTCACATACATAGTCTCATCTAGTTGCTTTTAGACTCATGTAATATGAACAATATCTAACTATTACAGCTCTTTTATCTTGCTAAAGTGGAAAAGCTCCAAAACAAGATTACTGCTTAACATGAGTCAGTTTTAGGAAAACCTAAGGCAATATTTCTTTATGAATCACATTGATAAAGTCATTTCTTCTGGCCTGAAGCACCCTGCAACTCTACCCTCATCTCTTCCTATACTACCCATCTGCACACTGTCTACATTACCTTTGGGGATGAAAAGAGATAGAGAAATTCCAACTCTAGCTTCAGTTCAATTCTGGCTCCACCATTACTGGCTCCATAACTGGGAGCAAGTGATTCTCTGCATCAATTTTTCTACCTTTCAAAAACACTAGTATATGAACACAGTTCAGCCAATTCTTTGTCAATTTATTGTAAGATTGCCTTTTCTCCAATTTCAAATAACATGTTCCTCATTTTCATTTGAAACCTCATTAAAATGACCTTTACCATCTGTATTTCCACCAACACTCTGTTTATTATTGTTTATGTATTTTCTAAGAAGATGGAGGTTTTCTCTTGTTTCTGAGTCCACACAAGAATCACCTTTAAAAATCGCCTCATGGCAATCTAGGCTTTTTCTAGCATGCACCTCAGAGCTCTTCCAGCCTCCACCCACTACTTAGTTCTAAAGCCACTTCCACATTTTTAGATATGTGTATCCTACTGTTAGTACCAATTTCTCGTAGTCTCTTTGGGGCTGCTCCAACAGAA